GACAGTTGCAGTAGAGGCCTGGCAGAGCATCACCAGGGATGAAACCCAGCGTCTTGTGATGTCTATGCGTTCCAGACTTCAGGCTGTAATTGACTGCAAAGGATTTGCAACCAAGTATTAAAAAAGTGAAAGTTTGATTTATGATTATTATTCTGTCCCATTACTTTTGGTCCCTTAACAAGTGGGAGGCACATATGCAGTTGTAATTCCTACACCGTTCACCTGATTTGGATGTAAATACCCTCAAATTAAAGCTGACAGTCTGCAGTTAAAGCACATCTTGTTCGTTTCATTTGAAATCCATTGTGGTGGTGTATAGAGCCAAAAATGTTAGAATTGTGTCGATGTCCCAATATTTATGGACCTGACTGTATTACTACACCTTGCTACACATACACCTAAATCTAACCAGAACCTTAACCTCAGTAACCAAATTTTTGTCTCTATTTTTTTCTTCAATGGAAAAAGCAGTCTTCCTCGTGGGGACCAGCCAAATGTCCCCAAAAGTTCAAAACTGTGACAGTGGGGACCTTTTTCAAAACTCATTTCTTAAAAAAAAGTGTTAAAATGGTAGCAGAATTTTGTGGTAAATAATTTCTCCTGTACTTACCACAGTGTTTCTTATCACTCATCACATCACTCTCTAAAAATGTCAGTCTTCCCTGGACCCTGGGCCCAAATGTTCAGCATGTAGTGATAATAGAGTCTAGACCGGTGCTAAGAGCTCCAGTAACTGAGTCAAAATTATTGAGGTAAGAACATGTTAATGGGGTGAGTAACTGTTTTTAGCCCCCAGGAGGCAGGGCATAAATGCACAATAGAATGGCTACTATAAAAGTAGTCTAAGGACTTTTGCCTTTTGCATTTGCCAGGGCATAAAAGTGAAATGAATAAAATACTAAGTCTGTGTAAATTGCTTCACAGACAAAATGACCAGCACACTGCCCTCCTCAATATCTCAGATGCTCAGGGTTGGTTAGTGTTGCTGTGATTAACAGGGGAGAGAGAGTATGCCATTACTCCCACCCAGAGTGCATAGCCAATTTTGCTCTCTTAGCTCCCAGCCATTGATGGCTGTGGCTTTGTTGGGATTCTAACTTGTGATTTCCGGACAATAGGGGTGAATACTCCTCAGGATCCTCAGATTTGCAACTGTAATAACAAACCCAAAAGCCCCTAATTTATGAATAATAACATTCATGGTGAATCCGGAGTCTACTATGAGAACACTGGGTATCTGGCGAGAATACACCTTAAATGTGATGCCAATCTATTGCAGGGCACTATGCACACATTTACACACATCAATCCATTTGGACAGTGGGATGGAAACAGAGCCCACTTAGACACAGGGAAAACATGTACAGAAACTCTACACAGACAATAACCCAAACTCAGGATCCAACCAGGAGCTGTGAGGTGGCAATGGTACCTCTTTTGGTACCTGAGTTTCTAGTTCAGTAATTTATTGAAGTTTCTTTTTAACTTTAACTTATTATATTAGCTAAGAGACACAGTAGATAGTATTTTGATCAATGTATAAAAAAGTATAATAAAATGTATAATAAGTCTGACAGAAAAATTACCACAAACAACTTTCTTTTGGTTTCATTCATTCATTTTCAGTAAGCGCTTTATCCTATTCAGGGCCACGCTGGAGCCTGAGCCTATACCAGGACTGGTTGTGAGGCAGGAATAAACCCTGTAGGGGATACTAGTCAGTCACAGGTCTTTTGCTTTTAACCTACTCTAAAACAATTGACAAATTATAGCATACAGACAGTACATATCTGAGACACACAAGGATATATAGTTTCTTCTCCTTTTGGCTGCTACCATTAGGGGTCATCACATTTGATTTGGCCTAGTTTTTACACCAGATGCCCTTCCTAATGCAACCCTCCCCAGTTTTATCCAGGCTTTGGACCAGCACTGGCATTGGTTCCCAGGCCAGGAATTGAACCCTGGCCATGGTGATGGGAGTGCCATGGCCTAACCACTAATCCAAGTACCCCACAAGGATAGAGAGCTGCCTACTGAAAATACAGTGCCATTAATTATGTTTGAGCATGAGTATTACCCTGTCTATAAACACTGCAAAACATGACATCAAGTGAAAATATCTTGAATTTATCCAGTATTTCCTATTGTATGATTAAAATAAACCAAATATAAGATTATTGAACATTTTTCTTTTCAATAAAGAAATTTTTTATTTTTTGAAAGAAGCCGAATTATCTGCCAATTGAATATATTATATTATATATTATATATTATATTATATATTTATATAATAATCCCTATTATCCAAAGAAAATATAGAACTCAAAATTAGTAAATTAGTGTCTAGAAATATGTTTAGTAATCCTGTATTTGGTTTATGATGTTAATGGAGTGAGTAACTGTTTTCAGCTCGCCGGAGGCAGTGCAACTCTGTTTCACCACATTTTTTGCAGTGAAAGAGGTGTCAAACTCCAGTCTCAAAGGTCTTTCTTAGTTATCTAACTCCCAGTTTAGCTAGCTGACAAGGTAGCATTCAAAATAATTTAGATTTCTATCAACATTATACATTATACATTTATAATGTAGAGAAAGCAAATTTAACTAGTGTAACAAACTCTGTGTCACCTCCTGTCTCCTCGGCAGCGTGCCAATACTGGCACCTGCAGCTAATTTCCACTCAATTAAGGACTCTTTATAAGGCACTCTTATTCACACTCTCATTACACAGCATTGTATAGTCCATGTGGTCTTGCTTGGCCAATCCTTGCTTTGGGTTAATGGTCTTAGTCCTGATTCTAATGCATTGTCATTCTGAAGTATCCCTGGTTATTGTTTGCTCTCTGTCTGTACATGTTTGTTTACTTTCAGATTTGCTGGCTTGTCTTTAGTTGCCCAGAGAAATATTTAAACCCTATTCTAGTCTCTCCTGATTATAATTAGTAAGTCAGACGTTCTCAAAGTTTTTACAGGCAGGGGCCTCTTTAACTGTATTGGTTCCTTTTTTCTTCTTTTTTTTTTTTGTCAACAGCAATTTAGTACCAGAAAGCACATTTTCACTGCTGGTTTGTGTCTAAAGACAGAGGAGAAAAATTAAGTATTTGTGGTGATGATATAATATCTCTGAGTGCTTCAGTGTTTTACTGCATATAACTGTTTATGGGTGCCTCTTGCATCATAGCTGGTATGTACAGTATGTGGAACGTGTGGCAGATCCCAGCTCTTTTTTTGGAATTAGAAAATATCTAGAAAATCATCCGGCTAGGCACGTGGACTTGTGTACGTCTATCTCTTTTCCTGTTGCTTTATCAGTGTCTGCATTCCACGGTCAATATGACCAATTAGCTTGGGTCTTGCACCTCTGTGGGGTGGACCCCTGTGTTCAGTGGTGATCGACTGCGAAACTTTAATTGATGCCTTGAGGAAAGTGTGTTCATTATCTGGTGTTATTAACCTTCAATGCTTTAAATGCAGAGAGCTAAACCAGCCCACAGTTGAGTCAGTATTTACAAACCTGATGCTGGAAATCTCCAGTGCTTTTGGTGAGTCATGTATAGAGTCATATATGGTCAGTCTTTGTATTCTGATCTGCTGCCACAGTCCCAGTGTGACACATGCTGCATCTTGCATAACACCTTACATCTGCAGTCTTTGACACTTCTTTGGAAATAATGTAACTGTGGCTAAGAGTTCCCACTGGTAGCCCACTATTTCAAATGCTTAGTTTGGAGTATAAGACTGGGCTGCTACTTTCTGAACAACCTGAAGCATCTTTAAAGAGGCACCAGGGCAGCCAGCCAGCAACAACTTACAATAGCCCAAACAAAAGATTATGAAAGCACACAGTAGTTTGTCAGTGCCGAGTACACTGAAAAAAAGAAACAAAAATGGAATGAATATAACAACAGACAATATATACTGATTTGCCATAACATTAAAACCAGCTGCCTAATATTGTGTAGTTCCCTCTTGTGCCACCAAAAAAGCTCTGACCCATCGACATATATATATATATATATATATATATATATATATATATATATATATATATATATATATATATATATATA